GTATTTTTTTATTTATTAAGGGTACAGTGGGTACAGTGCATATTAATATACATTATACATGTAAATATGCCAGAATTAGCCTAAGGGCTATTTTCCATCTGTAGTCCTAGGACAGTTGTTATGTGTCCTCCTGAGGGGAAAAAAATGACACATAACACAATTAGATAAAATATAACACTGTAAAAACCAATAAAGACACATTTTTGTTTTCAAAAACAATTCATGATCCATCCTCTCAACTGAGAACATTTTGAACTTTGTAAAACTTTGAACTTTGTAAACAGAAAAAAACAGCTGTAGGCTTTTACGTCACCCAAGAGGCTTGTCTCACAACTTGTTTCTGTGATTAGTCCTGTCTTGTAAATCCAACGTAGTTTACAATACAATACAATACAATTTATTCTTGTATAGCCCTACATCACAACAGAAGTCATCTCAGAGGACTTAACAAAACCATTGAAATCACCAACACAGATCAGAGAATTAATAGTTACCTAATGTAACTTAAGTTCTACGAATAGGTGCGTAGTCCCTTAGGACTTCGCTAGTGGGATATCACTCGTGACCCCCAGGTCGCACGCCAGAGAGATCAAAATAATTTGCTCCAATCACCAGCCACCCTCCTCTATAAATGCCCCTGCACAAGGCCGCACCCCCTCTTGAACTCTGCCAAGCCGGGCTGGCCTGATGGGCTCGTAGCTAAGGGACTACGCACCTATTCGTAGAACTTAAGTTACATTAGGTAACTATTAATTCTACGTCATGGTGCTACGTCCCTTAGGACTTCGCTAGTGGGACACAACGCGGAGGCCGTAGGAACATGTACTCCCAGCAGGCCAGCGAAGGGTGATTGGAGCTCCGCCCGAGCAAGACCCTCACACAGTGAGAGGACTCAGGGCAGAAGAAACAATGCGTGTTACAGGGCCACTCCTACCAAGGATACCCCCACGTAACACAGATGTAGGTCATCCGTAGTCACAGGTTGCCTCTCCCAAGGGCTCCTGACGTGGACTACCTGACCGACCAAACACACATATATGTACCGTACCTGTAGGATGCCTCTCCCAAGAGCTCCTGAACCAGGACGGAAGTAAACCGAAGGCCCCCTCAGAGGAGGGACCTAACGGTCTAACTCAGTCCGCTGCACTCAGCACGGAATGGGCCACCGACCGGTCCGACACATCCAAAAGATAAGACCGGACAAAAGAGGAGGACGACGCCCGAGAAGCCGCACGGCAGACGTCCTCGACCGACACCCCCCTGAGAAGGGCCGTAGAGGCCGCCATCCCACGCGTGGAATGCGACCTGAAGCCCACCGGGAGGGCCAGACCCTGCGTCTGATACGCCCGCCGCACAGCCGTGGCGACCCAGTGCGCCAGCCGCTGAGCCGACAGCGGGGCGCCCCTGTTCTGGGGCCCAGACACACAAACAGCTGACCACCCAACCTGAATGACGACGTCATGGCCAGGTAATGCCTCAGCATTCTGACAGGACACAGAAGGTGCCGCCGCTCCTCCTCGGGGGAGGCATGCGGTGGCGGATAGAAAGCCCTAATCCTGATGACTCTCGACCTAAAGGCCGACGTGATGACCTTGGGGAGAAAAGCCGGATTGGGCCACAATACCACCATGCCGTCGCCCTCTCCAAAGGACAGGCAAGACGCATGGACAGAGAGCGCACACAAGTCGCCCGCCCTCTTAGCAGACGCCAACGCCAACAAGAGGGCCGTCTTAAAGCGACACACTCGGGACTCGCCTCCGCCGCCGGTTCAAAAGGCGGACCCGACAGCCCCCTAAGGACCACCCTGAGGTCCCAAACCGGGGGCGCTCTCTGGAGCGGTGGCCTCCTCCTGCGTGCCCCCCGCAGAAAACGTTTAACCAACGGATGAGAGCGGGCTGTGAACCCCCCGAATCCGTCGTGACCCGAAGTAATGGCTGCCGCGAACACCGCCAAGGTGGCGACAGCCCTCCCCTTGTCAAAGAGCTCCTGTAGGAATCCCAAGACCCCCTCCAGCGGGCAACGCCTGGGATCCCAGGAACGAAAACCGCACCAGTCGCTGAAGAGCCTCCACCTCGTGGCGTAGGCCCTCACAGTGGACGGCGCCCTCGCCCCCTGAGTGGTCTCCACCACCGCAGGGGGAAGACCCAGGTCTACGAGGTTCCGCCTCTCAGCCTCCAAACCCGGAGCCTGCGGCCGATTATCGGGCGTGAAAACAGGGCTCCTCCCCCCTGGACTAGAGCCCCCGGCTCGTCCGGGAGGGCCCAGGGCTCGATCACCGCCATGCCCCTCAGGAAGGGGAACCACCGGGCATGCGGACTGTCCGGCGCCACCAGGATCACCGACCTCCTCTCCTGTTCGATCCTTCGCAGCAGGACCGGCAGGAGACGCACTGGTGGGAAAAGCGTACAGCAGGCCCCCTGGCCAGGGGTAATGAGCCAGAGCGTCCACGCCTAAGGGCGGCTCGTCCGCGGCCCTTGAGGCGAACCAGGACGGGCACTGTGCGTTTTCTGCACTGGCGAAAAGGTCGACCACTGGACGGCCGAACCTCCGCCAGATCTCCGCAGCTACCCGTGGGGCCAGGCCCCACTCGTCCTGGAGTGGGCCCCCCCCTGGACATCCTGTCGGCCCCCACGTTCCGGACCTCCGGGACGTGGCGCGCCCTGAGAGACAGGAGGTGAAGCGCCGCCCACAGCAGCGTCACCGTCGCCATGCGATGGAGAGCGGGGGACCTGGTGCCCCCCTGCCTGTTCAGATAGGAGACCACTGTGGTGTTGTCTGAGCGCACCATCACGTGTCTCCCCTGCAGCTGAGGAGCAAAGTGCAGCAGTACCCTGTGCACTGCCTCCATCTCCAGCAGGTTGATGTGACGGGCTGAGTCCGACCAGCAGCCTCCTACAGAGCTCTGGCCGAGGACCCCGCCCCATCCTTCGAGCGACGCGTCCGTGAACACCTCCACGTGAGACACGGCGCAGGTCAGAGTCACTCCGTCCCGCAATAGACCCGGAGTGACCCAGAACCTGATGTTCGATGCTGCCACTTGGGGAACCCAGATCAGCCTCCCCCCGTCCCGGGAGGGGTGAAGCCTGAGGCGTGAGAACCACCTCTGAAAATTCCTCATGTGGAGAAGGCCTAGCCGCACCACAGCATGAGCCGCCGCCATCATTCCCAGCAGGGACCTGAGGCGCCGAGCGGGGACTCTGGGGCCCGCCAGAACCTCCCCGGGCAGATGGGTAGTGTTCATCCGTCTGTCCACGGACCATGCAGCACGGAATGTCACAGAGTCTAACTGCAGATCGAGATAAATCATGCACTGAGCCGGCTGCAGCTTGCATTTCTCCCTGTTTACCACAAAGCCCAGGCGCTGTATGTGGGACAGGACCCAGTGCGTATGACTCACGGCCACTTCCCTGGATGAGGCCAGAATTAACCCGTCGTCTATGTAGGTTAAAATTCTTACCCCTGCGCGTTTGAGCGGCTCCAGTGCTGCCTCCACGCACTTGGAAAAAGTGCGAGGCGCGAGTGCGTAGCCCAAGGGGAGACGGCAGTACTCGTAATTCCTCTCTCCCACTGCGAAGCGCAGAACCTCCTGTGTTCCGGCACTATCGGCACGTGGAAGTACGCATCTGTCAGGTCTATGGAGGATATCCAATCTCCCTGCCTGACACACTCGAGGAGCTGCTTTGTGGGCAGCATCCGAAACTGCCGTTTGGAAATGCACTCGTTCAACACGCGCAGATCCAAAATGGGACGCACCCCGCCTGACTTCTTTGGCACTAAGAAGTAAGGGGAGTACAGCCCCCTGGTGGCGTCCTGCGGGTCTACCTCCACTGCTGCGCCTCGACTCAGCAGGGAGGAGACCTCCGCTTGCAGTGCCTCTAATGATCCCCGTACCTGAGAGCGTGCTGCCCGTACGCCTCGGAATGGTGGTGGCTTCCGGGAGAATTGCAGTGCGTAACCCCTGCGCAATGTTTTCTCCAGCCATAAATCTGTCAGCAACCCTGCTCCCTCCAGATGCTGTAGAAGTCTGTGAGGGGCGGAACGGGAGCTGGAACACGAGACGTCACGGCCCCGCCCTCTCCTGGTGTTCCTAGCAGGGAGGGGGGGTGGCTGAAAGGGCCGGGGGGGCCCCTGCGTCACACCGTGAGCGCCGGGGGCGGTCACGTGTCCTGCAGGCCCGACGTCATAAGTACGGGACTGCTCATCCCACGTGACTCGGCTGCTGTGCCCCCCCCTGGCTCTTGCCTCATGGAGGGGGGGGCGAGCCCCTGGAGTGGGAGACCCCGTGTTAGCCTTGTAGCTCAGAGATGCTAACACGCGTTCGGCCGAAGCACACACATCATTACTCACCAGATCCCTCCGCCTGACCTCTCTCTGGGAGGGCATAGCATGAACCAGAGAACCGGAGCTCGTAGTTCGCGTAGTGCACTGCACGCCCCTCTCTGGGGCTGCAGGCCTAGCGAAGCAACGTTATGTGCTCGGGAAGTAACACAATCAGAATTCACATTATTTGACATGTTACATACCCCCAAATGAGACTCAGAAACAAGTAATGATGAAATGCCGGTCGGCCTTTATTGAAGGAAAACTTTCCACCCCGACCTCCTCTGCCATAGGGAGGTCGGCGGTGGGTGCGTTGCTCCCGCGAGCCACCCATGGGCCTGTCTGGACCCGGGGGCCTCGTCGAGGGGGGGCGATGGACAACAGAGCGCGGATACGGGTCAGGGCGCCTCCCGGGCGAACGCTCTCTGCCTCTGTCCCGGCTCCGTAATGGCTGGTGGGCCTCGCGCCTCGGTGCTAGGTGCGGGGCTAGCCTAGCCGAGTCTTTAGCTGCAGACTCCAGTCTCGCCACCAAGGCCTGCATGTCCGGGCCGAAGAGGGACATCTGAGAGATGGGCAGGTCCAGCAGCTGCCTCCTCTCCGCCTCCCTGTTGTTAGCCAGCCCAAGCCAAAGGTGCCTGGCCCGACTTGGGCTGCTGCCATGGAGCGGCCACCATCCACAGCTAGCGTCTGGCACATGCGCAGGATCGCCGCCGAGGTGGTCCTCGCCTGTGACAGGAGGTCTCCACTGAGTTGTGTTTTTCAAATGCAGGAAAACAGATAAATGCCTAATCTTACAAGCATTTTAAATAATTGATTTAAGTAGCGGTTTTCAATTGAAGTAAGGAAGGTGACCTGTAACCCCCTCAGTCCATGCGTTAAGGCTCCGAGTCTTTTTTGAACAATAGATTTACAATTAAATGCCTTGTCCCGTTGCTGTATCTTCATAAAAAAGTGTCACTACTATACATCCTAGTGTTTTCAAAGTTCTTCAATCCCTAATTGTCTTCCTCGACGTGGTACCCCCAATTGAGACGCCCTTTGTCGAGCTGAGCGTCACTGTGGACTTGCCGGGTGCCTTCAGTCGCTCCATATCGGCAGACTTCAGAAGGAGACAGAGGAGTGGTCCCAGCATCATCTACAATCTACAACACACCCAAAATAACTTATAATCATTCATTTGAACTACAGTCAAATATAAAACTTATTAATTGGTAAGAAAGCAAAAACATCCCATATTAGTAGATAAATAATGGTATCTAGTTCATAACAAGTAACAAACCAGGCATTGCGATGTGGTTTTATAAATGTAAAGATAAATGTAACTTAAAGAGCGACTAAACACCAAATCAACTTTTTTTAACTCATAAACTGCATAAGTATGTTTATTGTAGTGCTGTCTACATATCCTGGTCATTTTTTTGACATTTTAGTTCAAATTAGATAAAATATCACTTTTGAGCCAAAAAACGCTGTGTGGTGCCCTCTCCACCTTTTTGGTGGTACTACATTTGAATTTGGTTCTGGCCTCTCCATTGACTCTTCATTGTCAGTTCTCTATGACATCAGTTGTTTTGTGTGACGTCAGTCTGTCAGAGCCAGTGATATGAACCCATTCAACTGCAGTTTGGAGTATTCTGGCGCCATCTAGTGGATTAAAATTAAATTACACGAGTCATTCTGAGATTATTGAGTGTGATTAGGTTCAGGTGTGTAGCTTTACAATTGTCTTAGTGTGTAAACAAGGGTGGAATGAGACTTTCTGGTCTGTAAACTATTGCTTTAAGCAGCAATGACAACTGTCATGTTTTTTTTTGTGTGACAAGTGAGCTGTCAATCACAGCCCAGACCACGCCCAACTCTAAGCCCCCCTTCTTGTCCCTTGGTCCTCCAGGCAACGCCCTTTACCAAATAGCAATAGGGCAATCATTATCATTATTGTAATTATGATTTTGTTTACTTGATGTGAGCATACCTTCTTCTGACGTTGATGCTGATCTATGGCGTACTGGTATTTTGCTTCGTTCAGCCCAAGAGCTCCGGCAAGTCTTTCACCCAGGAAGTCACAAGCTGCAATTGAAGATGAAGCGCATTCACAAGTATTTCAAATGATAATAATTATGATAAAAAAAAAATAAAAAGAAAATCTATCTTCATGTGAACTACCTCAAGTTATGTCCAGAACGTGTCTTTCTATTGAGATGTGCTTATTTATCTAATTGTTTGAAAAGGGACAATGCTTTAAAATAAAAGAGACAGTTTAAGCTGCATCACTGATTGTCAACAATTTATATAATATCCTAAATAATTTCTGCTTATACGCCGTTTTAAACCTGGGCTGTTCCTTGTAGGTTACACCCAGTGCGAGTTCTGCTCACAGCAGTAGACCTGTAAAAACTTACTGAGAAGTGACAGCCGTCCAACTCGCAAGACCAGATTCTTGAGTGAAAACCTCCCCTGACGAAAAGAAACAGACACGTGATTAGTATGGCATTTAAAGTTGGGATACCTGACTTTTTTAATTAAATGAATGCAGTTTGTGACACCAGAAAGAGTCTTATAAAAGTAGAATGCCGTCTTGAACATGTTAAAGTCAGGATACTTGTAAGAAAGAGTCCAAATTTGTCACTTTGGGGTTGAGAGGTGGTTTAGTGAGGGTGGTCCTCTCTTTTTCACTTTTCTGTCTGAAAAAGATGTAACAGAGGCTAAAAATGTATAAATGTGAAAAGAATAGAACCGAGATACTTTAATAATTTTCTTTCGTAGTACATCTACAGTATTTTGTAGTTTAAAAGTTTGGTCACCCAGCTTTAAATACACAGTGATGACAGAAATGCATTTTGGATTGCCGTTACACACACATTCTAAGACAGGCATTCAGATTATGATTTTTTTTTTTAATCTAATAAATAGCTATATTTACAATTAATCAAGGTCAAATTAATGTATAAAAGTGGAATATCCATCATGAATTTTAGATAAACCTTGCGTCTGTTGTCCCCAAAATAGCCCACTGCTTTCTCTTCTTCCTCCTCCTCCTCTTCATCACTGTCCAGGTCCAGTGTCTCCCCGTTGGTAAAATAAATGACTCTCTTTTGGGGAGCCTCTACACAGCCAAACTGGGTCTCTTGCATGGCCCCTGCCTCCTACATAAACAGCATCAGAAACTAAAATAAATATTATAGATTAAAAAAAACATACAGACGACTGGAAATAAATGCATCAGCTATGAATTTTTTTTTTTTTACCATTTTATCAATATTTGCCTAAGGGTATCTCTCGTTCCACGTGAGAAAGTGATTGTCTTTGTATTATTATTAGTAAAACAAGACAGGTTTGCCTGATCCATTGGCATTTCTTGTTTTAGGACTAACTCAAATAATGTTACATCTCAGCACATTAATTTTTATGTTCCAATTTAACCGTACACAACTGTAAAATAAGAATACTGGTACATATCTTGTCTATATCTTTACTATTAGTATGTGCAATTGCTGAGGCCAATTTTGTTTTGAATCTGGGTGAAAGAAAAGCCTGCATGTGAAAACTAGTGATAGAATCAAACTGTTTGAAAGGATAGAGACTATTTAGATTGTATTCAGCTGATTATTTCTGGTTTGAAAGTAAAAAAAAAAAAGAAACAAAAAAAGAAGAGACCAAGCGCTTAACCAATTACAAAAGTGCTAGATTATGTTGTAAATGGATTGAGGCAACACTTACTTGTTCTTTGTGGCTCATTTAATATTGGCTTGGGTTAATCTTCATGTTTGAATTTCCTCACAAGCTGAATTATATCCCATGTTTGTTGACTGGGCTGTGTAGCAGGATGGAAGAGGGAAAGTCAAACACTGTAATGTAAACTGTGCTACTGCAGCTCCACACAGGGAAGTAATAGTTCTCTTGTGGTTTTGGTGAGGCTTCTTCCTGTTGGGACAGGTGTCATGTGACAGAACAAAGTACAGATATTGCCTGCGTCTGAATTCACACAAAAATTCATATTTTCTTGCTCTTCTTTTCTATCATTGACATTGGGACCATTCAATGTAAGCTATGACATCCAAAAGTTTAAACATGGTCTTAAATTTGTCTTTCATTTGCCAGGAACTAAACACTAAATAGGCCATAGACACACACTGCAAAAAGTGAGGAAATGAAGCAGTGATTACCTCATTTATTGTCATATTTTGCAGTGCAGGTCAGATCCATGGAGAGGCGAGTCTTACCAACGGCAGCATTTCGGTTTTTTTGACTACGCTAATCACCTATAAAAAATCATTTGTCCAAAAAAATGCATTCACATATCATAGTTGTACACTGGATTTAATACTTTCATGAATCGTTCTTACACGAAAGACGTTAATAGAGGGAGAATGTACACAGAATAGAACAATTAAAAAAAACACAGGAAAAACCATTATGGAAAATATATGATTGCCACATTTGAAAATGAAAGAAATTCTGTGGGTAAATATGTTTAAGCAGATCCTTACTACAATCTCTATAATGCAGAGCAGTTTAAAGTGCAAAGGCATACAGTGGATTCAAATGTATGATTTTTTTTAGATAAACATACAATGAAAAATCAATGCAATATATGTAGAGTTCGAACAAGCTTCCAGCAATTAGTTTTATTATTCAGAGACATGCAGCATTATGAAGTCATCCCTTTGAATGGTTTTGTCCCATTTCTTTTAATGTACAGTAAAAATTCATGGTAAGTGCTGCAGAAGAATTTTGCCAAAAAAGTGTTGTGTAATGTAAAAAGTGTGGTTAAGAAATGCAATAATATGTAAAAGGCAAAACAACTAATAAGTGAAATAAATAAAATTCTAAAGATGACTATGTAGCTGAGCTTAAAATGAATATTGGAAACCAGCTACATCATTTTATTTACAAAGAAACTACACATCATTATGCCCCGTTTTACCAAATGTGTCTAAAAACATAGAATTTCAGCTCAATACTAGTTTGTTCATTTAAATATGATTAGATAATAGTCTATGTTGTTCTACCATGTTTTGAGAAACAAATAGGTTGAAACTCAACTGAAGCCCCTGTTTACAGTTTAAATTGAAACTAGAGCTACAAATATGTGGAGTGGAATAATCGCAATAGTTGAAAATAAGTCTTCGAGATTCAGATACCGTTGACAATAGTACGTTTTCAGTCTCATTCTCAAAAATACACTGGTTAAACAAATATTACTCCTATGTAGATACATTATAATGTTTTCATATCTAAAATACTAAATATACAGAGAGTTAGTGTTTTTAGCGTTAAAATTGGTGCCAGTGCCAAATTAAAGGCCCGAAAGACCAAGGCACTCTTATTTAAATACTTAAGGCTTAACCATATCAGTCTAATGTCTGTTATAATTTGTTATATTAAATTAACATCGTGATTCATTTTTGCGGTCACATACTTTAAAATAGACTGGTTCTGAGCTAATGCATGAGTGAAAACAGAAAATGTGGCCAGAGGCTCATGTTCCCATGGTTTATGTGAAGGGGGGGGGGGTTTAGGAGATGGAACAGCCCGTGTCCTTCTCTGGCTTGAGGTCCGGCTCCTTCACTGGCTTCACCTCCTCTTCTTTAGGTTTGGCCTGGGATAAAATAAACATTACAATAATTGAGGAATGTGCGAGATTGATTCCTAAATATTTAAGGTCCATGTCATCGGTCTTCTTTGAGTTTATGTTTGTAAAGGGGTGACAGTGGCTCAGTTGGTAGAGCATTAACCTTTGAACCTGAAGGTCGTGGGTGAAGGACCTTCTTCTCTTCTTCTCTAATTGGGTTGTAATATTATGTGACAACCCATAATATTTACATTATAGTAGAATCCCATAAGTCCATCATTGGTATAACAAGAGACAGTAGAAAAAGCATTTGACCACTAGATGTCACTCATTATTATCTTGCGGTAAACTTGGTTGAGGTAATTAGACTGTACACTGGAGCTAACTTCATCAGCATTAACTGCAGTGACTGAAGGGATTTCTCTAGAACAACACTAAACAATTTGAACAAGAATTGTTTTTTTAAATCATTTGCGGAACATATGAAACAAGCTGGAGATGATTGTTAATACATTTGGACTATTGTAAAAACATGTAAACATGTCATATTGAAAAAGATTTAGTCTAAAACTACTTAGGCTGATTGTGAGAAAAAAGAAACATCTTAATTCAAGCATTTATATATATTATGCAGCGAATCATTTCTTTCTGGAAAATGATACTATTTGGAACAAACTCTGTACACACTTATTGAAATGTGTGGGAAATGTGGATTATTAGTTATCACTTCAATGTATGCTTTCTCAAGAGTAAAATTTTGCTTTTTAAACACCCCAGATGTAAAAAATCCTAAACGCAACAATAATAATTTTGTGCAGCCTTATCCAAAAGTCTGCTCCAAGGCTTTACATTGGCCTCCTGCATACAGAACAAACTTTACACACCTGAAATTAAATTCACTGAATATACCCGTGGCTATATCCTTCGTTGCTTGCTAACCTTGTCATTCTTGGCGCCTCTCGTCAGGTCGAACGTGGCATAGACCTCTGGAGTGCACTGCTCGCTCAGAGGAGGCAGCTCAAAGCACACCGGCTCAGCCAAACCGTAGCTGGCCTTCAGCTCCAGCGACGGCGGCTCCACGGGAACCTTGTGGAAGTATCTGATGAACATAATACTACATTTAAAACATCCAAGGGTTATAATCTAATCATTAAAGATGGTTTCATAAATATGTTTTATTCATCCCAACAGAAAGAGTAATTATAAAAGTATAATTTTGTGAACATATCAGACCACGGATCATACTCATCTTATTAGAAAACATTGAATGTTGAGTTTCACATATGAGAGCAGATTGTCTGAGTGAGGACTAGTACTCCCTTTTTCACTGATACATAGTACAAACTAGTGATAGATCCAATACCTTTTTGAGAACTAGGAACTGGCTGGATGGATTTTATGACAGCTGCTTTAAAGTTAGGTACAATACTTTTCATTTTCCACAGAATCTGTGAAAATGATAACCCAAGTTATCGTATATTTTTACATGTGTGCGGCAATTATAGTTTTTGATACAAAACTCTAATTGTCGCACACACACAGACACACACACACACTTCTTGTGCAATCCATGCAGCGCTGCAGGACCTTATAGAGTCACGCTTTATAACGTGTCTCTTTCTTGCGGCTGAAGTTTACGAGGTGTTTTAGAGCTGGAGATGGACTTACATGAATCCGTTCTCCCTCTGACACTTCTCCAGAGTGTTCTTGATGACTCCTCCCAGTTTGATGAAGAACAGCTGCTCGGAGGGTTTCGCTGTGGTCCCTGGTCCTTTTGTCTGACGATACTCTTTACACAGAGACTCGGCCCGGGCATAACCTAAACAAACGTAAACAAGCCATATGAGGAGATGCAGGCAGGACCAGTGCACACAGGAAACAGGACACAGTGATTTCAGAGACTCTGCATTTTTCTGAAGGCAATCTAAAAATCACTAACTTATACTCTGTTTTTATTTCTTTATTTGACAAGGACAGTACAAAAATCAGTGTCAAGTACATAGGGCTTCAGGCAATAGGCTAATTTGTCACCCCCGTCCCTGGTTAGGCTTTTGAAGAACCGTGAAGAAGGGGTTAGGGTTAGAGGTACGGAATAAACAACAATCAACACATCAATACAAAAAAACAATTGGCCCCATTTGTCCATACTACATCCAGTTTTAGTGCTCACACTTCTGATTTAAGCCACTTTTTCACTTTTATGTCTCCACAGATGTAAGGTCTTCACTGAGAATGCAGACTGACCCAGAGTCGTCCGGCACCTTCTCACTCTGCAGCTCCCACTGACTGCAGCTTGAGTCCGCACTCCCTTCCCTGCTGTAACTTTGGATATCTTTACACATTACTTCAGGGGCTTATCCATTGAAATGCATATAATCATCAAAACTCACCATGTTGCATTTTTGAGTAATAGTGCGGTGATGATGCTTCATTGACTTTCGATCCCAAATGTTGAGTGTTTGTTTGTATAATGACAGCAGAGGCTTCACTACAGATTTTGTGGCCTGTCCCCAGACAATGGCCAGTGTTGGGCACGTTACTTTGAAAAAGTAATTAGTTATAGTTACTAGTTACTTCTCCCAAAAAGTAACTGAGTTACTAACGGAGTTACTCCACTATAAAAGTAACTAGTTACCAGTAAAAGTAACTATTGCGTTACTTTTTCGTTTTGTTCTGGAACATAATGTGCACCCGACGTGCGCATTTTTACCTTTAACAGTGCCAATATTTCCATCTAGAAAAGGCTGTTTTGCTGCTGAAGTCCTGTTCACTCTTCATCTCTCTCTGTGCTGTAAAGCCCGCCACTGTGAATGTGGAAACACCGGTGACGAGCGGTGAGGCTGGTGAAAGCACTGACTTCAGTCCAATCAGATGAACATATACATCATATAAATCAAGTGGACAATTTGTTTGGCTACAGCAAAATATGTTTTATGCGCATTGTTTGTTCATACAAAACGCAAAACTATGAGTTATGGGTCTTACCTTATAGCTATACCTTATAAATGACCTGCACAGTCCACTTCGGTTCAGACCAGTTCCTTGTTTAAATCCAGTGAATGGTTTGAGCGTAGATATGTAATCCTCCATTTGGAAATGAGTCCAATGAGTTTTAAAAAGTAAAACAAAACGCGTGTGTCCTCCATAAACTCCTGTGTTTTGCGGCAGCCGAGTGCATCCAATTTCTAAAATCAACCGTCTTACACTTCACCTCTCTTTCTTATCATTCCTATAGTAATTGAACAATTACCCTATGTGCATTTTAGATTATGTAAAAATGTGTTATATGTATGTTAGCCAAACCTGTTGCTGTCCTTAGCAGATAAACCAGGACGAGCAAGGAGCTTATCGATGGAATTGTATGCAGCCGACTTCTGCGCTGACATACGCGCCTCTGTGGCTGACCTCACGGTGATACAAGCCGTGGTTGAGCGCGATTAAGACCCATATTTGTTTCAAAAACACAATTTATGAGCCATCCTCTCAACTGTAAACATGTAGATTGTAAAGAAATATGATTTACATCAGCCAATAATTGCTGAGAGGTTTTCTCATCCTCCCTTCTCTCATGACAACACGTTCATTGTGCGTCTTGAGTAACGCGCAGTAACGGGATGTCGGAAATGATAACGGCGTTATAGTTACTGTCAAAGTAATTAGTTAGATTACTCGTTACTGAAAAAAGTAACGGCGTTAGTAACGCCGTTACTAGTAACGCCGTTATTCCCATCACTGACAATGGCACAATAAGACATGTGGGGGTGAACTGATAAGCAGGGTCTAATCAACCTGAAACAATTTATATGTATTTGTATGGTCTTCATCAACTTTGTGGGGTCCTCCGAGGTTGACTGCTAATGTGATTTGGGACAATACAAAGAAAATTGTATTGAATGTTTCAGAGAAGACCTGTTGTACTTTCGCTTGCACTTCTGTAATTCCCCTTACAATGTGAAACTAATACACAACAGACTATATTCTAGTTTTCCAAGTTTCGCCTGTAAGCCTGCTACTAAAAATCTTATTGGAATATTGAATCAGTGACAGAGCAATGTTCTTTATGCTTTAAATCTTTTTAAAAATGAATTTCTTACAGAGCAGGTGCCTGAAATGTATTACATTTACTCTGGATACTATATTGTGTGAGCTAATGGTAGTGAAATGTGAAATCATTGTCTTTGTCAAGTTGTCGGAAATAATCTTTTAAGCTATGTACCCAACAGCAACTATTCAACCGTTTAATAAATAAGACTTGATCGCAACACACCATGAGTTCTGTTCTTGTATTTATACTAGTCAATAACATTTCCCAGTCTCCAGGACATGCTAGGACATGACTTTTCCCCAGCATAACAAAACAGTAAAGATTATCACATGGTTTTCCTTATGCAGTATCTCCCCTTCAGTTTGTTCTCAAAATCATATGCCCATAATTTCAGCGTTGCACTTACATTTTTCTGCTTCCTGAAGGGATCGAATAGCTTCTCCACACTTGTCGCCCGCCAAGAGGGTCTGTCCATGATAGCAGTAGGCCTGGAGAACAACATACAGAGACTGATTAATTGACAATCTCTGTTTGGATGTTGACGTAGCCAATGCAAATTATTAGAATTGCAGAATTTGTGGTAGTCATAAATCAACAACATATCAGCCCTATGTCCTGGATTTTCTCTACCGAATGATGTACTTTGGGAATGATCAGATTTGAGTATGTCCCCAAAGAGTAAAACTTGTCATTCTATATGAATTCTGGCTGAAAAGTGTTTAAACTCACATAAGCCATGTAGAAATGCTGTTTGAGCTGCAAGTACTTCCTCCACTTGCTGCTACATTCAGGCTCCAGAGTGTTTAAGGTGTGATCTGCCAACATATTCAAATTATAAATGGTGTATAATTCTTTGCATAACAAAATATTAGTATCAACATGTCTCCTACCAGCCTTTTGATAGAAGTTAGCCGTCTCATACGCCAATGCTGCAATTAGCGTAGCTTTGTGTTTCAACTCAATGGCTCTGGCAATCGTGACTGTTTAAAAACGTTTTTTAACAATGTGAATATTTTTGATTAAACAATTGTATTTGTGAATAGAATAGTTTGAACCAAACCTTCCTGTGCTTCTGCCTGGCACTGAATGATGTAAGCGTCCATAACCCTTGGCTCCAGGTCTTTGCCTTTCTCTGCCGGAGTGATGAGTCGAGGAATATGCAGCTCCTAGAAGAAAAATAGGAAGTTTTCTACAGGTGTTTTTTTGTCTGTCCGCATTTCTAGCCATTGCATAATAATGAATTATATTTTTGTATTCACTATAGAGAACTCAAGGATTCCTCGCAACTGGGTCATTCAACGTCCTTTTCTCTTTTGATCCGATTTTTCTTTATAACTTCTAACTATATCTGCTATACTTTCTCGGTTTCCCATACCACAGTTTAAGGGTACAATAATATGTAAAAATCCTCCAGTCATGACCAAGCCGAGCATCAATGGCAATTGAGGATGGGTTAAATGCAGAGGACAAATTTACCTACAGGGAAAATAAATTATAAGTAGTACATATAGTGTAGTAGTATATACAGTGTAACGTACTAACTAACTAAATACATACAAATCTTCATTAACATTGATCTGCCACACCCAAGTCTGGACTAGGACTCTATTTATTCTATTTTTTGGAACAGAACCCATGGGCCGCAGTGTAATTCACCTTGAGATTTATGAAAATTCCAGCTGCCACCTTGAGACTCCGGTGCACATCTTTGGCCTCTGGCTCAGTTATGCTGTCAAAAACACATATTCAAGCTCCCAAATGATTTCCATTTCCAAATATTTGACCATGTGATTGACATTTTCACATACTTTTCCTTTCCAGCGAGTCTGGAAGCAAACTTGGTGTACCAAAGAGCAACATTGAATGCCATAGAGACCAACTCAAACACCATGTCCTGCTGAGCACTGTGGGGAGGTATTTTTGATTAGGTTTTCTGCAAACTGTAATTACACTGGAAATAATAATGCGGTAATATACCAATAGCAATATCACATTTCAAGACAAGAGCGATTTTTATGAGTGATGTGCCTTACCTTGGTGTGTTTCCTTGTAAGGTGTCAGTCCATTTAAAATTCTGAATGTAACGCATCTTGTTGTCTTGTGTGCTTCCATCCAGAGAAGAAATAAAGCCTAAATTATAATATAAAATTGTTACAAATTCAAAGGCGTTATATGAGGTACAAACAGTGTAATTGTAAAAGATGAAGATTTCATTTTTGAGTAATTGACCGATTTGATTGAATTGCAAAAGGATGAGCCAGACATAGATACTGCTTAGCATCGGTCCTGAGGCCCAGAGAAGGAAACTTTTACCAAAACTCTTATCACACTTTTTTAATCCATCATCACAAGTGAAAAATCTGGGCGTAATTTTTGACTGAGATGATTTTTATTCCCCACGTTAAGACAAAAATAGATTTTTATCATTTAAAGAACATCGCCAGAGTCCGCCTCATTCTCTCTCGGGGCAACACGGAGACGCTGATCCATGCTTTTATCACCAGTCGCATTGACTACTGTAATGCCCTGCTCTCTGGTCTTCCCAAAAAGAACTACAAAACTCGGCAGGGGGCGGACCACATTACACCAGTTTAAAAATCGCTACATTGCCTCCCTGTGTGTTTCAGGATACATTTTAAGGTTCTTTTACTGTTTTTCTAAATGTCTTAATGGGCCTTCTTTTATTTCAGAATTTCTTTTATCCTATGAACCTTCCCGGCCCCTGCGCTCCTCCAGCAGCAGACTCCCAAAGTCAGGACACACACTCACGGCGAGGCATCTTTCCAGCACTACGGCCCTGTCTCAGGAACAGTCTGCCGGAGGAGCTCAGGGCCAAAAAGAACATTCATATTATTGAAACCAGGCTCAAGACACACCTTTTTAGATTTGCTTTTGACTCTATTATTGCATTTTATATATTCTTTTTACACACATTTTATTTTAGTTTTAGTGTCTATTATTGTTATCACTATTATTAATATGATAGTTTCCTTTTAGTCTCACATTTCAATTTCTCTGTATGAAAAGCGGCTTTATAAATAAAATGTGATTGATTGATAGTAAAGAGGAGGAGGAGGTTTAGAGGAAAATACAATAATAAATTAAACAGAAAACAGATTCCATCCACCTTGCAGCAGTGAGAAATATGCATCAGTTGCATTTTTCATGATCTCTGGAGTGCAGGTGATGTCAGTGAACATGTCCAGCAGTCTAGCCCTGGTGGTCCTCAGGTCACTGTGGGGCAAATTAATAATATAACTTGTATTCTCCAACATGGTAAAAGCTATATACCAGGTGTTGTTAGGCCAACAATACTCGTCAATAATAGGCACAGTCATCAAATAACCTTACTGCAAAGAGCACTCACTTGCAGATCTTATTGGCAGCTGGACTCCCCGCTACTCCGTAGTAGTTGAAAGAAACAGGCGCTGTCGCCTTCAGAGGGTTTCTGTGAAACCAATGAGCCATTCTAGACGTGGACACACCTAAAGGCATTATTACACGGTAACAGCGTACAATACAGCAAGTACACATTATACAACATTAATTGCAGACAAGCAAAGCTCGTTAAATGACACAATGCAGTGTAACTGCACATCTTTGTGGTGCCACATTATCGCTACATTAAGGTTTGCTAAACAGACGCTATGCTAGCTCACTGAGGAAACATTAGCGATACTGTTGTGCTTGGACAATCATAAACATAGAGAAACTGGCGGTGTTAAATCATTATAACATCATTCATCAAGATTCACTCTCCTGCCAGCCGTAAACCACAGGCGTTTGGAAAAGCTTTAACAGCTAACCCAAGCGAGAGCTAAAGCTAACGCTGGTCACATCGAGGAATGCAGCAGACAATACAGCCAAATAACTACAACGTCATTATAGACTCTGTAAATGTTAAAGGATATGTTTTTAAAACAGGCGTTACCTTTGATCGCCGCGTTGAATATCACAGATGTGTTAAATCTGATGTCAACACCACTGAGACACTTCCGGAAATAAACACTGGACTGGAGTGGCCAATGGCAGCTCACGTGTGGATCACGTGACAAGTATCGTTTAAACGCCTCAGGTCTCGGGTCAGATCACAGAAGAGTCCTTCTACTGTCTACTGTATGGTCAGATTCCCTTTAGTTTTGACTATATAATAATGCGTCCATGGGTTTGTCCCATTTTACATGAGCTAGTGACGTCACACCACCACACACAGACCCAAGAATAGGCCTTTATAATCAGGAGTTCTTAATGTGAACACAAACCATCACACGATAGAAATATAATCTCTTTTATTTTCCATTCGACATTGATATGATTAACAAACATAATCTCTTATTTTCCATTCGACATGGATATGATCAACAAACATAATCTCTTATTTTCCATTCGACATGGATATGATCAACAGTCACACAGGTAATTTGGTGAGGATTTGAGGTAAGTGAGGATTTGAGGCACCTGGGTCACTGGATTAATTCTCAACAAATACTTTCAACATCACATTACATAGAGGACTGTACACTATACTTCAAACAAGTTTTCATTCCCCAGATATTTGGTATCATAGGGATACTGCTATTTAGAATGTAAATAGCATTATATGAGCTCAATTTCCCCATCTTTTTATTGTATAATGAAAATGGCCTTTAATAATGAATAAGGCCTTTTTGCTAGCTGTATAAGTCCATACAGGCTCTGTAAATGTCAAAGAGTAAATATTAAGGCATTTCATTATAACATAAGATAAAAATGACCTGATAGGCAGCCACAATGCAGATAGAAGAGTGCATTACTACTGATTAAATTATATTTGTCAGATTGTCGGTAGATTTAAAATTAACTTTAAACAGAATCCAAAGGGTCACTATCCAGTAAGTCAACATCAAGAGAAAAGAAAAGTCAATAATCAGATTGTGTGGTTGCTTCACAGATGATATAACAGTCTTTTCACATAAGAAAATTGTTTTAACATTCTTGGTTTCCTTTCTATTCATCTTCATTCATCTTAGTCCATTTCGATTTCACAGAGGACCAGCCCCTCACTGATCCTCTTGCACGTGGTGAGGACAGTTGCTCCATTGGTGACTACACAGCCTTCCTTTCAATTTGTGCAAAAGCATTTGTTTGATGCGACTGATATAATCATGATATGAGCAATACAAAATAGATGTGTACAATATTTAAATCTTTGGCAACTGTGTAGCTTTTGCAACAAAATGCTTTTTATGTGGCTCATTTACAAGACACTAGTTGAATGTAATGATATTCAAAAGTACATTTAACCCGACAAACCCTGAAGTATTTAGCACATTATAGTCGTTTGGCATAGTTTTGACACAGACTGTGGTCCCGGACATCTCCCCAACCTCCGTTCTTCATGTGGGCCTTGTGTTCTGCCACCTCTGCAGTGGTCAGAGTCAGAGAGGCAGGGAACAGGCCGTCCTTGGACCTCTCCAGGCTCTCCTCCACTCGCTGCATGGCCCACTCCGGTCTGCAGTCATCCTTATGGTGCAGCCCACAGTCTCCGGTGTGCATGACCCGTGAGCCTTGGGCCACCAGCACTTTGATGGGTTTGGACACGCAGGTCCCAGAAAGGTGTTGCAGGGTCCAGTCCCAGTTATAATCATCATAAGTGCAGAAAGCGTCATTACAGCCCATGAGTTTGTAGTACATCTGCCGGGAGATGCCCATGCCAATGTTGTGCTTGGTGGACATCCAGCTTGTGGTCATCACTTTGTTAGACTCTCTGATAAAGTTATTATAACCATTGTGATTTCCCAAGGCCAGCATGTCACAGTCTGTACAGCTGCTCTGTCTGAACTCAATCATTGCTTTATAGAAATGATAAAAGTCTGGTAAGAGGTAGTTATCCTCTTCTAAAAAGATGACAAAGCCACTGTACCCTTGCATCACATGCACACGCTCCCACACATAGTGCAGCTTCCACCACCAGTGGTGCTTGGTCTGAGTGATGAAGGCTTCCCTATAGTGGCCATACGAGTCTGGGTGTTGTGCATTTAAGCATCCTGTTTGCAAAGCTTTGTCCTTGGCGATGTCACGAGGACAGTCCAGTGGATCCTGTCCAGGAAACTCATTTGGATAGAGTTGTGCACTGAAAGGGAAATAGATTTGCAAGACTTTGCAAAAAGTAATGCTTTGCACAATAGAGTTGATTTCCTCAGAAAAGTAGTCATGACTGAAGATAAGAAGGAAGCTGTGCACCTCTGCAGCCTTGTGCAGTGACTCTATGAGCAGTTTGAGGTACTCGGGTCTGTTGTGGACTTGCACCACCAGGACCAGCTGCGGCTCCCCGGGGAAGCGCTCTGCATTCAGGACGCACTGCTTAAAGTTGGCATTATAAACGGACTTCTTCAGCACTGAGAGTGAGTCGAAGTTAAGCTTTAACGCGTCACCAGAGCCAGAGGTTTGGCTGTGTGGAGTGTTAGACTCTGTGTCCCAATCGGGGACCATCAACACGCGCGTAGAAAACAAAAGTGTAAGGATTACGAAGGAAACTCCAAGCAGTACGAGGAGGTTCTTCTTGAGCACCCGGAACCTCATCTTCTCCGACTCGGCGACCTCCACACGATGGCTCAGGCTCGGAGTGTCTACCGCGCCAGGCCTCGCCCCGGGCTTGTCTGCACCATCTCCACTCAGGGCGCGTAGTGGGAGCTGCGTCCCCTGAAAAGTGCTCCAAAGTCACTCCAGCTGTTTCCCACGGCCACCTGTGGAGTTAGCAGAACAAAGCGACTACATTAACACGCTTCTGGTCGCGTTTGGACCGTAATAGAACGTTATAAAGCCAGAGTACAAACTTTTGGCTAACGTCGACTTACCAAAGTAGTTGTAAAGTGTCAAGACTCACGCACACGGAAGAGCTGGATGACTGTAACATTATGTGTCTGACTTATTGACTGCTGACGTGTCTGCAGTGGCCAATGGGAGAGAGGCTTTTCCTGCTCTGCTGCTGACGGACCTTATGGTCTAGTTGTGTAATGGAAGATTCAACCAAACGGGTCTGTCACAATCAGTGTTCAAAACCCAGCTCCCTCGAAGTGTAAGCTGGTTATGATTCGACATATTTGGGATCTCCGAGTAAACTAATTTTACTTTAGTCTTGATGAACGCCAATAGCTGAAATCACATGACGATGGATCAACTTTGTAATAATCAAATTCAATATATTATTTTCTTTAAATCCACGGCTCTAATCTTATTACGTTTGCATCTCCATACATGTTTTCAGAAAAGAAAGCCTGTGGGGCTGAATTGAAAGACAGGAGAACTTGATCTGCCTGAAAAATGCCATTACAATGGGAGATGGAACAGGAGATGCTGGGACAGGTGTCTTTATAATGGACACCGTTTTGTGTTGCGTAACTTGTGGTATTTTTGCCCTAGTAACAGACACGTAATATCTGGAAAAAAGAATGGGGTGCGGTGTGGTCCACGGACCACACCACACCCCATTCTTTTTTCCAGGGAAGATAAATAAAAGTAAAAAATGTTTGTTTTTATTTCTAGTGTGTTCCCCCCATGGTCATTATAACCACTTGCAATGATTGAAATTGCATTACAAATATATTTGAGTAAAGGCAATTAGGGCCCGTCACAAGTCAAGCCAGACCATTTGAATGACAAACCTACTTGAAGTGAAACTTTGCTCCGAGAGGCCCCCTAGTGGAAATGTTTGTGTTTCTCCTTTTATATTTGAGTTTGAAAACTGTAACTTTCTATTAAAACTACATGGAAAAACAGCCAGAACAGAACCACTCATGTTGTTTGTTTTGTTTACTCTATTGTTTTGGTTGTATTACTGTGACATAGGCGAAGTATTTTGAATTGCATGATTCCATCTAAATGCTCTTAACCAAACATAATACTATTTGTGCCATCTTAAACAGATTCCTGCAGGTTTGTACACTGCTTTTAATTTCATAAATTATACCAGTGTTAATAAGAACAAGTGCCTTGGTGTTCAATACTTTAACACATGTACCATCTTCTTTTTATTTATTCTTATGTTGATTGAATGATTTTACATATATATATAATATATAATTTTTCTTTTTTATTTGTGTTGTATATAAAAGTCTTCCATGTGTTAAAAGCAAAAACAATAATATAATTTACAAATAACAACAATAACAAAAGGAGTTGGGAATATTTTCTTTTTTGTATTATTGTTGGGCAAATAAATCTTATTATCTCCATATTTTATGTACCAGAGTTTGAGAATATAGCTGGCCTTAAACACACATATATTGTGATCGATAAACAAGAAAAGAACTCCAACGTTTGGAATGAGAGCTGACTGGACGTACAAGTTTACGTTTTGGTTTGAAAAAATGCATGAGGCCGGATCACATTTTTGGCCTCAGCAAAAACCATTTGTGAGACCCAAGAACAAGAAAATGTCCGTTGGAAGGCCTGTTGGAAAAAAAACTGTAATATGAGTATTACGGGAGGAATACCATATACAACAATACCATTTTATATATTTTTTTATTTGTAACATTATTTTGTGTTTTATTAAGCACTTTTATGTACTATCACACCGTTCCCAAAACAGCTCATTAATAAATTGGAAAATTAACAAGCTGCATTCACTACTCAGTAATACTCACTATTCTGCCAGACAGGCATATTGTGGATAGATTAAGTTTTCAAAAATACAGAATCTAATGCATCATTCCCAGGCTCTACACAAGTGCTTGCAGAGGTCTGTCCTGGACACAGCCCCAAGAGTCACATCACTGGGCTGAAGAGACCAGTGCTTCTGCTTCACACACATCTGGATCAGTCAAACTATTTTTATGTATGATCTCTGAGAAGACTTCCGAGCCTGAGGTCGCGAACACACAGGTGCCAGATCTGTATTATGCATGTTCAGAGACATCTATATGCAAAATATGCTCTTATCTCTTACTCTGCTTTAGATTACAATGAATGCACAACTTGTTCTGCTTTGCTGCATTGGTGTAGGTTCCTCCTCATGTAGTAGTAACTCAAGTAACTGGTAAGTTATAATTATCTGGAAAGTTTCAACAAACCGGTTTCCACAGTGTATTTGTTTTGATGTTGGAATGCCTGCTTTTGTAAGGATGTCCAACAAGTCCAACAAGAATATTTACAAAGATGTCTCAGCACATCTGTCTGTCACACTTGTATTGTGAAAACAGTGTTTTGTTTGATGCGACTGATATAATCATGATATGAGCAATACAAAATAGATGTGTACAATATTTAAATCTTTGGCAACTGTGTAGCTTTTGCAACAAAATGCTTTTTATGTGGCTCATTTACAAGACACTAGTTGAATGTAATGATATTCAAAAGTACATTTAACCCGACAAACCCTGAAGTATTTAGCACATTATAGTCGTTTGGCATAGTTTTGACACAGACTGTGGTCCCGGACATCTCCCCAACCTCCGTTCTTCATGTGGGCCTTGTGTTCTGCCACCTCTGCAGTGGTCAGAGTCAGAGAGGCAGGGAACAGGCCGTCCTTGGGACCTCTCCAGGCTCTCCTCCACTCGCTGCATGGCCCACTCCGGTCTGCAGTCATCCTTATGGTGCAGCCCACAGTCTCCGGTGTGCATGACCCGTGAGCCTTGGGCCACCAGCACTTTGATGGGTTTGGACACGCAGGTCCCAGAAAGGTGTTGCAGGGTCCAGTCCCAGTTATAATCATCATAAGTGCAGAAAGCGTCATTACAGCCCATGAGTTTGTAGTACATCTGCCGGGAGATGCCCATGCCAATGTTGTGCTTGGTGGACATCCAGCTTGTGGTCATCACTTTGTTAGACTCTCTGATAAAGTTATTATAACCATTGTGATTTCCCAAGGCCAGCATGTCACAGTCTGTACAGCTGCTCTGTCTGAACTCAATCATTGCTTTATAGAAATGATAAAAGTCTGGTAAGAGGTAGTTATCCTCTTCTAAAAAGATGACAAAGCCACTGTACCCTTGCATCACATGCACACGCTCCCACACATAGTGCAGCTTCCACCACCAGTGGTGCTTGGTCTGAGTGATGAAGGCTTCCCTATAGTGGCCATACGAGTCTGGGTGTTGTGCATTTAAGCATCCTGTTTGCAAAGCTTTGTCCTTGGCGATGTCACGAGGACAGTCCAGTGGATCCTGTCCAGGAAACTCATTTGGATAGAGTTGTGCACTGAAAGGGAAATAGATTTGCAAGACTTTGCAAAAAGTAATGCTTTGCACAGTAGAGTTATTTCCTCAGAAAAGTAGTCATGACTGAAGATAAGGAGGAAGCTGTGCACCTCTGCAGCCTTGTGCAGTGACTCTATGAGCAGTTTGAGGTACTCGGGTCTGTTGTGGACTTGCACCACCAGGACCAGCTGCGGCTCCCCGGGGAAGCGCTCTGCATTCAGGACGCACTGCTTAAAGTTGGCATTATAAACGGACTTCTTCAGCACTGAGAGTGAGTCGAAGTTAAGCTTTAACCCTGTCACAAGAGCCAGAGGTTTGGCTGTGTGGGGTGCTAGACTCTGTGTCCCAGTCGGCAATTATCAACAAGCTTGTAGAAAACAAAAGTGTAAGGATCACGAAGAAAACTCCAAGCAGCACGAGGGGGTTCTTCTTGAGCACCCGGAACCTCATCTTCTCCGACTCGGCGACCTCCACACGATGGCTCAGGTGCGTCTACCACGGCAAGACGCACACATACTGAAGAGCAGGACGTCAGTAACATTATGTGTCTCACAAATTGACTGCGTTCCGCAGTGACCAATAGGAGAGAGGCTTTTCCAGCTCTTCTGGTGAGGATCTTATAGTCTGGTTGTGTAATAGAATCTTCAACGAAACATGTCCGTCACAATCACTCCAAATCTGATGAACACATCTAACTGAAATTATGTGATGAAGGATCAACTTTGTAATAAGCAATTACAATATATTGTCTATAAATCCACAGCAGACCGGGATTCGAACCCAGGACTTTCTTGCTGAGAGGCTATCCACTCAGCCACCGTGCCGTGCCGCCCGGTGATTGACAGCAGGTAGGAACTGAACCAGCAAATCAGCACAGTCTACGATCAGCACATGCAGCCTCTCTCCGAGTCCAGCGTGTGCTCCACTGTAAATATACTGTGCTTTTCGGAGTTAGCATCATGTCATCATAGAGAAAATTTGGCCCGGAGACGGTGAATGAGGAGAATGGGGATAGACTTTATTCACTAGGGTCTGCCTCTGAAATCTGTGATGTTTTTCTGCTTGACACTTAACCAAAGACTGTTCCAGAACTACAGTTACCTTGAAACGCGTCTTACTCCAAACTGATCTGGAAACCTGGTGTTACACCCAACAACGGGAAGCCTCGGTCTGTGAGTACAATGCAACTCACTCGCTGTATATCACTGTTAACTAAATAATTAGGGTCTGATTCTGGATCGAAGACATAGAGCTCTATGTGACAGATTGTCATTGTTGGAAATGTATTTTGGAAGTTTATTTTTGTGAAACAGCGACAGATCCACTTGTTTCACATGAGGAGACATCACCTCTATGCACGAAATGGCTATAATTTGGCTATAATAGTGTTGTAAAGTGTATCACCCAAATTATCATCACACATAATTAGGATGGACTATGAAAAATTAAGAAAAGCAAAATATGGAACCTAAGACATTTTATTACAATAAATAGAAGATTAAAATGTTAAAAGCTGATTACAATGATTACAACTAATAACAGTCAGCCCTGTTGTCAGCCCTGGGACAAGCCTTACTAAAATGTTTGGACAGCCCTGCTCATAATTATCCACCTCCCAGGCTTCGGTCATGCAGAAATACAGAAGAGGACATATGAAAGCGCCACATTGACGTTATTATTTTTAGTTGATCACTGTCATAAAATGTTGTGGAACTTAGTGGATTTGAATGAGGGATTTTCCTGTGGACAGAAATTACAAACAAGATTATACAAACATACAACTCCCTAATGGAAAACATCTCACCATCAGAAACAAAGTATACATCATATGCCATACTATTACACATATGACAATAAAGTTAGGTGGGTGTTTTTGGGGTTGGGAATGTCTCTAGAGCAGAATATAGTATACAGCATGATAATAATGCTTTTCTTTGCTGCCAGAGGGCTCTGACGCATGGTCTCAAAAGGGGAAATGTCAAACAAATTCTTGGATTTTATTGTTTCATCTGATCCCACAAAAGACTTCAGTGAGCATTTGGGCCCTTTGAGCCAGAGATGCCTTAAACATGACTCATTACTGTAGGCTGCAGTGACTCTCAGTGGACACTAGTGGGAGACAAACAGCTTTGAAACAACGGTCAAATCCAATAATAATATTATAGCATGCACTCTCTAAGATCATAACAAATACAATCAGACTTTTGTTGCCAGAATCATACTGATGGAAACCAACCTGCTGGAGATTAAGAAACAAACTCTGTGGATTACATATCATTACATTGTTGTTGTAATAATCTTTATAATCCTGTATGGTAAGTATAAAGTTTGGAAAATTTTGATTACAAGCCCAGAAGTAGATGAGAAAAATACAATAGTCCTCCCCTACCCCCACTACCTGCCTTGTCTCTGGAAACAGGACACAGAGATTAAATAAAAAAATTAATAAATGTAGTTTGTAAAGGAACAGTGCAAAATATAAAACTATCTTTCCTATTCTGCCTAGCAAATGTATCTGGACTTGGTTTACCACCACATGTGTTCATTGTGCATGATGATCCTCATAAGTATTTGATAGAATGCATTTCCTAGAATCAAGGCAAGACGACTTTCAAAATCATATCCAAACAGTATGTATGTTATTTTACACATTCCAGATTTATCTGAAATGTGATCTGGAGGAGATTCCCCCGAGTGATCAAACACTATACCACTTGTGTTTCAGACCACGACTCCAAAAAGGTTCTCGTAAGAAATCTAAAATAGACAAAACCCTGAGTGTGAGAGAAGGCCATGTTGTCCCGTTCAGCAGAGTTGAAGAATGTGGAACAAATCAATCACACAGACAGTTGTCATAACTCCTCATCATTGGTCTCTATAAGCACATTAGCAGTGGACACAAGCTGAGACAGGAACAGCTGTGGGGATGTCACACAGTAGATCTGATGTTATGTTGAGTGTGAAATAAAACACCTCACTTCCTGTCTTTGCCTTTTTAAATGGCATGATACCAATAAAGGATTTTCAATTTAAATTATAAGATTGACCATGTTTTGAACATGCAATAGAAGAATGGAGGCAGACAAGAAAAGGTTAAACTGTTTAGCTCAGTTTACTGCAGTTGTCAAGGATGAATGTAAACGTGTTAAACTAAAGCCAATGCAGAGCACCGCCTTTATGTGCACAGAACCAAACACTGTAATACTACACTTATTCAATCAAAAGTATTTGCTGTAACATAGGGCTCACCCACTGAGGTCATCTCACAGTTTGTCACGGCATGTGCGTGTTCTAGCCCACATGATGTAACGCGCATGTGCTCCCTCTCCCAAACAAACTGTGAAAGTTGTATAATAATGAAGAAATATTCTATTGTTTTGACAAAGCACAGACTGTGTTTGCAATATTAAACATGTTGAAACAACCTGGGAGATGTTTCAGCCTTCTGGCATTTTGTATGTTACTGTTCATTTAGTATTACCGTTTGAATTGGTCTGATGTTCACCATATTGGCTTTGAAATAAACCCCCATTAGCTGAATTATTGATTTTCCAAAGTGTCTTTTGGCAAGACACTTTCATTATTATCTTGTATTAGATAGATAGTGCATTTCTTTACTCAAAAAGTTGTTACATTGCATAATGAATTTATTCCACTGTGATGTGATGGCATCAAATACATTAGATATAAGTCAACCAAATAATGAAATCGTTTTTGAATCAAAATGTTTAAAGGACAACTCACCCCCAAATCCACGTCTGCAGTGATACAGTACCTTGCGAAAGTATTCGGCCCCCTTGAACCTCTCAACATTTCGCCACATTTCAGGCTTCAAACATAAAGATATACAAATTTAAAATTTTGTCAAGAATCAACAACAAGTGGGACACAATCGTGAAGTGGAACGAAATTTATTGGATAATTTAAACTTTTTTAACAAATAAAAAACTGAAAAGTGGGGCGTGCAATATTATTCGGCCCCCTTGCGCTAATACTTTGTAGCGCCACCTTTTGCTGCAATTACAGATGCAAGTCGCTTGGGGTATGTCTCTATCAGTTTTGCACATCGAGAGACTGGAATTCTTTCCCATTCTTCCTTGCAAAACATCTCGAGCTCAGTGAGGTTGGATTCGCGAGGCACTGTACTTGACGTCTGCCCAGTCTCGTTCACGCCCCCCCCAGCGAAGGAAGGAAGGAATAGCAGAGAGTATTTTCATCGATCATCAGGTTTGCGATTAGTTATAGCATTTAGGTAGGTTTTTATTAGCATAGCTGTTTGTATTGTTGATAATTGTGTAGTGTTAATAGCGTTGTTGTTGAATATTGTAGTTTTAGTCACTATTGCTTTTACTGTCAACTGTCAATCACAGCCTAGACCCGCCCAACATTCACCCCCCGCCTGTCCCCTTTAGTCCTCCAGGCTACGCCCATTTGGAGGAAGATTTGAACATATTTGAATGTGAGTGACGTAAGCCTCAAGGAGCAGGGGTGAGAAGTTCTTTAACTAACAAATTTGACTAATTGTGAAAATCTTGATAAATGTTAAATTTCCGAGATTTCTATTTGACCACCACCAAACGCATACTTAATAGTTACATAATGTAACTTAAGTTCTACGAATAGGTGCGTAGTCCCTTAGGACTTCGCTAGTGGGATATCACTCGTGACCCCCAGGTCACACGCCAGAGAGATCAAAATAATTTGCTCCAATCACCAGCCACCCTCCTCTATAAAGGCCCCTGCACAAAGCCACACCCCCTCTTGAACTCTGCCAAGCCGGGCTGGCCTGATGGGCTCGTAGCTAAGAGACTACGCACCTATTCGTAGAACTTAATTTACATTAGGTAACTATTAATTCTACGTCATGGTGCTACGTCCCTTAGGACTTCGCTAGTGGGACACAACGCGGAGGCCGTAGGAACATGTACTCCCAGCAGGCCAGCGAAGGGTGATTGGAGCTCCGCCCGAGCAAGACCCTCACAAAGTGAGAGGACTCAGGGCAGAAGAAACAAATGCGTGTTACAGGGCCACTCCTACCAAGGATACCCCCACGTAACACGGACCGTAGGTCACCCGTAGTCCCAGGACGCCTCTCCCAAGAGCTCCTGACGTGGACTACCTGACCGAAGAGGACGACGCCCAAGAAGCCGCACGGCAGACGTCCTCGACCGACGCCCCCCTGAAGAGGGCCGTAGAGGCCGCCACCCCACGCGTGGAATGCGACCTGAAGCCCACCGGGGGGGCCAGACCCTGCGTCTGATACGCCCGCCGCACAGTCGTGGCGACCCAGTGCGCCAGCCGCTGAGCAGACAGCGGGGCGCCCCTGTTCTACCTTGGGGAGAAAGGCCGGATTGGGCCACAATTCCACCATGCCGTCGCCTTCTCCAAAAGACAGGCAAGACGCATGGACAGAGAGCGCACACAAGTCGCCCGCCCTCTTAGCAGACGCCAACGCCAGCAAGAGGGCCGTCTTAAAAGCGACACACTCGGGACTCGCCTCCACCGCCGGTTCAAAAGGCGGACCCGACAGCCCCCTAAGGACCACCCTGAGGTCTGTAATGACAGTTTTTAGAGTAATTACATTAAAACCAGCCGCAGCAAATACACGGACGTCAAAGGCCTTTGATCAATGCAGAGACGACCTTCTGACGCCATGCTGAGCTTTGTGAAGGTCTCTGCTGTCTGTCACACCCTTGTGTCTTTCGCATCTTGCATCTGTATGCCTGCATTTCTACCATTGTCTGTCTGTTCGCACCCCCATGCCACTGTGTCTGATTGCCTCACCACGGGGATGGCGCCTGCGCTCCCTATGCGCCTCCTGCAGCGGTGGCCCCCTCCCATCTGTTGTGGGCGTGACTGTCTTTATGTGTTGTCTATGTAAACAGGAAGCTGAGCTCTGCGCGGCAGAGCTGGGGTATGCTGCCTTTTGTATATGTTAGCTCTCAACACTAATAAACAATAAACTTACGCTTCTGATTAAGACAAATACTTTTGAGCTTTCTCCTTCATTGGGGTATGTAATTCTACAACAATTTGGCGTTGCTGGCATGTCTTGGCATGGATACTTTCGGCGGGGACGAGCGGCCGCGTTTGGCCGACCTGGAACAACACCAGCCTCTGTTCTATTTGGAGACAAAGGAGGGCGCGCTCGTCCCGCGCATGGAAGGATTCTTTGGCCACACAAGACCAAAAAGAACCTAATTTGGTGAGTTTTGTCTTTTCATCTGCGTAACGAGCCCAGGGCAGCACTTAAGTGTACACGGGGATTTGTTTATTTATGTATTTTTGGGGTATTTCATTCATTGCCACAGCATAGACTGTGTGCGGGATTTTTGGGGTCTTTTGTTCTAGATTGAAACTAGCGGCTGCGCGTTAGTAATCGCTCTGTAAGCGACCCTGATAATTTCTCTAAGTGTCTTCAGCCAGACCCGCTCCGTTTCAAGAACGCGCGCTCGTTGGTTGAACCAGCGGGGGGGGAACGGAGCGCCCCAAAGTGGGTAAGAGCAGGGAGAGACTAAGCGGGTTAGGTCCATTGTTCGTACGAGAAAATGGGGAAAAATCAATCTAGAGATGCAAGCTATGGAGTGCTTGCCTATGGTGCAGGTCATCTGTCTTTTTCCGATGGAGGCTCTATGTCTCCGAATCAATTACGCATCTTGCGTGATAATTTAGAAGAAGAAGGGAAGAAAAAATATACTTGGTTTTAAGAATATCACGGCAAAAGACGTTAGAGAAAGAAATATGTAAAAACAATAGCTCCTCCGCTTTTCACCGAAGCGGAGAACACACAGGCGGACACACACACACACACACACACACACACATCCCCCACACCCCCACACCCCCACCCTACCGCCCTTTTTCCCCTACTAACAATAAGTGTGCACCCAAACAAGGCGTTGGGTTTTTAAAAAAAAAATGAGCAGACTACTGTTGTCCCTTTTTCCTCTCCCTGTCCAGGTCTGTCGGCGCTTTTCCTCCGCGCTCTGGCCTCTGCCTCAAAGCCCCAGCACCAGCCCCACGCCCCAACCACAGGCGGCGCTCGCACCAGCTGAGACCCCGCGAGAAGTGGGCCCAAACCCGGGAGCAGAAGAAGAAGTGGCGGAAGCAGATACACGCTCAGGAAACCGCAGAAGAAGAAGCGGGGGAAGCAAATATGTGAGACACCGACAACTGCTTTGGAGCACAGAGACAAACTGCTCCAAATCCCGTGACTGTTCTCCACGGAGGCGGCAGCGTGATATACCAAACGCACCCGCGGAAACCCCGTTGAAAGTTGTCCCCGCACCGCAAACAGAAGAAGCCATTGGGACCGGCACGTTTGGGTATTCACCAACCCTCATGGACCACAGGCTAACGCTTTGGGCTACCTGGGCCTCCTGCGGACTTTGAGAAACTTCCACAGCCCGGCGGAAAGACTGTGTGCTCGACATGTGTCGAAGGACTGTCACCGGAGGAGGCGTTAAAGGCAGAGGCTCACACGGGGCCAGAGGACGGCAGAGGCGGGCGTGGAGGAAACACGAGCGACTGACCAAACCCGGGTTCACATTCGTCACCAAAGCGACCGCTCATGTCACGTAAGTTTGAACAACAACAAATTGCAATTGGCACTTTTTAGAGATAATTCATGCTGAATTCCTGTAATATACGCTAACAATCTGTGGTGTAAAAGTTAAAATTCTGGATGACTCCGGGGCAACAAATTCTGTGCTAAAAAGTGACAGCCTTTCTGTCTCCCCTAAAATGAGTGGCCGCTTCACATTCTCATTAGCAGCGTCGGGAGAGACGACTAAAGAGCAATTTACGTCACCGCTAACGTGTTTTGATTCTCAGGGCAACCAGCTTAAACATTCTTTTCTATATTCCCCATTGTGCCCGGTTAATCTACTAGGCCGAGACCTTATGTGCAGACTCAATTTAAATCTGCTCTCAACACCAAGCGGCCTACGGGTGGTACACGCTAGTGACCTAGCAAATGCTCCATGTTTCACCGGCATGCACAAGGAGGCACCGGTCCCAAAAGTTAACTACCACTGGAAATTGACACCAAACCCTGAGATTGCTAAGCTATTAGCCACAACAGTGGATAGAGTTACGCCCGCACAAAATTTGGAGGTCAACCACGCGAACGACCTAAGCTGCTCTCTCCGGTCGTTCCCAGACAATAACTTGGAGTTTGAAAATTCATGGCTTCAGTGTAGTAAAGATAGGCTACAAACGGAGTATGTTTATTGGGATAGGCACCACGCTATGGTATCTGTG